TTTTGCTGCTAGCACCTTTCCTGTAATGGGATTGCTGGCCATGTCCAGTGTTGGTGCTGCACTCTGGGAGAGGGAAGAATGGTGACTGGACGTAAAGATGCACATCCCCAGTCTTGGTGTGGCTGGTGATGTGGTGCCTGGGGAAAGAGAGAATCTGGGCTACGGTTTGGTACTAGCGCCTTTCCTGTAGTAGTATTGATGGCCACCTTAAATGTTGGCACTGGGCTCCCAGGAGAGGGAAGAAGGGTTTTGGGACCCCGTGGGCAAACACACGCAGATTCCCGGTCTTGGTGGGGCTGTGCCAAGGGAAGGTGAGAATCAGCAATAGCTTTTGCTGCTAGCACCTTCCACGTGTGAGCAATCACTAAATGTTTTCAATTGTGGAGCTGGGCTCTGTCAAGAGTGAGAAACAATGCTGGAACCATTAGGTGGGTAGGAACAAAAGCCACAGTGCTGGTGTGGCTGCGAAAGCATTGCAAATAAAAAAAAAAAAGATTTTGCATATTATTTCTCACTGTTTTTCACTGCTTTGACAGCCCCACCAACAATGGGCTCTCTGGACATAGCTTTTCACTCTCACCGGAGCCCAGCTTCAAAATGGAAAGCGTCCAGTGATCGCTCCTACACAAAAGGTGCTAGCAGCAAAAGCTAGTGCTAGTTCTCACCTTCCCTTGGCACCACTTCCACAGCCCCACCAACACTGGGGCTCTGACTTGCCTACCCCTAGAAGGTACAAACATGTCTCATTCTTGCCAGAGCCCCATTGCTGCTTTCAGCTTTTGCTGTTTAGAACTTTGCTTTGACAAAGAGTGTTATGATAAAAGCACTGGCCTTGAGTCAAGTCAGCATCACTGCTGTCCCAGTCTGAGCAACAGAGATGTTGACTGTATTATAAAAGAATAGTTTACATATGGTTAAATAGAACCATTCTTTTTAGAGAACAATCTTCCAATACCAAACACGCACTTTAGGTCTTAAACAACATTTACAAAACTAAACAGAGTTTCTGAAAAGGGGCAAAATTCTGCCGGAAGCAGAAAGTTCCTAGTGAGCACCTAAACTAAATCATTCAAGAACTTCAAATAAAAAACACTTAAGAGATCATCCAGTTCAGAAAAGCAGATTTTTATTTTAAACAGCAGCACATACATACAACATTTTCAAAATATATATATTTGAAAACATACTGCACTTCATTAACCAACTTGCTGTGGTTTATTAATTGTTACAATTGTATTTGCAACCAGGTGGAGTTACTGCATCATAACCTTCCTACGAGTTAGATGCTCCTAGGTTTCACTGGAATAACTGTGCAATATACTACGGAGAGAAAACCCACATTGTCACCTGGAGGCTTCAGCTGACTGACGTAAGGATTTTAAATAGAGAAATGTTATTTAAAAACAAGTGTGGCAAATCATGAACTTCAGGGAAACACTTTATGCACATAATATACAAATTTGAGTAGTCACATACATTTCTGAATGAAGTTTCCTGAAGCAGGACTCATCCCAACAGAAGCAACATAGCAGCATTTTGGTAAGGGAGGAAACCAACTTTTCCTAAACCCCTTCCCTTTTATTTAGATGCAGAACAAAGATTAAAATAATAGAAATGGAATCAACTTTTGATATGTTTACAAATATCACTGAATCACCAATTCTTATGTTTCACCACAGTTTAGCAAGTGTCAGAATATGCTACACATAAATATCCTAACCCATCCACCATTTATTAATTCACTACAGAAGTAGTTTCTACATAAATTTTATCTTTAAGATATAATTTAAATATAGCTTTTTAACAGAAAAACACATCAGGAGTTTCAGTTTGCAGGTAATTTTCAATGCACTAGGAGGCTTAATGAAGCTGCTCAAATTATGGCAAATAACTGTTTTCTCATTTTAGGGGGGTGGGGAGGGTAGGTGGTGGTAACTGAAATGTGCAAACAGGTTAAGAATAAATGGTGATCACTTCACGTCCACTGCCTCGGACCAGGAGAACTCTATCCAGACCTTCTGTCAGAACTTCCAAAAACTCCATATCTGAAACATCATTAAGTCAAGGAATTGACTTAGAAAGGAACAAAACAGCCTAATGGTTATCCCGACAAGTAGACAATGGCACTATTACAAAAATCAAACTCCCAGTTTCAAGAAATACAGAAGCAATATAGTAAAGGATACAGTTTTCATCCCCTTTTCTGTTTTTAGGAGGTCCAGGCATGTTTAGGAGAACTAGCTGAGCATGCTGTGATTTATTAAGCACTACTCCATTGAGCTTCACAGCAGTGTGCATTCGTCTCACATTTGACTGATTCCTAGCAAGGCAAACAAACATTTTTAATTACTGTCACAATGCTTAGGTATTTGACTGATACATTATGTACTTGAATTTATAAATTTCATCTATATGCACAAAGAATAAGCTGTTTTCATGGACACCAGTATTTGTACACATTCAAAGGAATTTTGAGAAAACTTTTAAACCTAGGTATTGCGTTATTTTTTTCCCTTTGAAAAGAACATTTAACTCTGAAATTCAAGCAATTCTAGCAGATTGCCAAAAATGCACAAATCTTCCAATTGTCAGTTACCTTTTACAAAGATGAGGCAAAAACTTAATTTCAAAAGAAATTTAGTTTAGTCAGAAATTCAGTTTAGTCAAAACTACTGAGGATCTAGTTTATTGAATCCTATTTAAAAATTTATTGAATAAAAAAAGTAACTAGATTTGTACAAGAAATTCCAAAGGAATTACAAAAATGCAATGGAAAGACTCCAGTATTTATGTTGTACAGCACCAGACTTCCCTCATGCTCTTTTGTAAACATTATGAGATTACTCTAAGCTTGGTGAAGAAAATTCATAAACAACACAGAATTTATGAAAAAAAAAATACTAGTTTCTCATGTTATAAGAGTAAGGCAGTAAGCAAGGAACTGAAGTTGAGCCTCTCCCTTTACATTATCAATATTAATTTTGCTTTCTGTGTCCACAAATACAGATGTAAATTTGTGCATGAGAGGAGGAAAGCGCTAGGACTTCAGAGATTTAATTATTTTAGGATCCTCTTTTGTTCTGAAGAACAACTCAATTATCCAAAGAAGAGTTTCCTTATAGTTCCTGAGAAACTGCCACTTTGTTCTACTACCAGAGGTCCTATCAGAGGACTACACCAACACTTAATCCTAGAATCTTCTAGCAAAATGAGGTCACCCTCAGATTATAAAATTAAGTGTGGAGTTGACACCAGCAGCCAGGTACACATTCATTCAAACATAAGGGACCAAGACAGACAGAGAATGCTGGGAGTATACATACTTGTGTTAAGTCCTGGGTTTTTTTTACTATGAAGGGGAAAGCCATTAACATGATACTATTAGAAGTACCCTGTCTCATGTTATATTTTCATCCTTGATTTTGCAGGGGCAAATAGGAAAAAAAAAGAAAAGGCATTTGCCCTTAAGTTTAGTGGCCAGCGGAGACCAGCCCCATCAATATAAGCTGATTCTCCTTTTTTCTCCCCTACACCCTTGCGTTTTCCCATAAGACAACACTTCCAAAAGCAAGTTTAGCAGTACCTCCTGGAGAATTTTCTGTCACAGCGGCCATCTGTCCTGTACAAAACTCTGCAAAACCCATATATCCTGTACAACTGTACAAAAACCATACATGGAACAAAAGAATACTTAAAGCTCAGCTTTTCAGAAGAAGAACAACAGCTTGAGAAGCTCAAACAAAACTATGAATCACAGAATCATTAAGGTTGGAAAAGACCTCAAGGATCATCAAGTCCAACCGTCAACCCATCACCACCTAACTCACTAACCCATGTCCCTAAGCACCACATCTACATGTTTCTTGAACCCCTAAATAATATTTAGAAGAAAACTAAAGTCATGATGAAGAATATTTTCCAGTGACAAATGCTAAATCACAGTATATAAAACAAGGTACAAAAAACTGCACACACTGCAAATCATGATTTAGGAAACATGCATACAATGTACAACATCACGAGAACCAGGGAACACAGCCTACATTGCTTAAGTGAAATGGAATTTAGACTTACAGATTTCCCCATTCTCTACGTGGAAGGTAAGCAAACGCACAGGAAAAAAAAGTTATGCCATCAGGTACATTTTTAATTCACCAATATTAATATATCATACAGGCATACCAAGTTTGAGCTGTAATTTCCACCCCCCAACCACAAAGAGTAGTTTTAAGAATATCTGAAGTCTGCATCTTGCACAATTCAAAAGACGTAATGGGAAATATTTCCAAGTTATTAACAAAAAAACCCCCTAAGAGTTGGAGTATAGTGCAGCCCAGAACAAAAACAGTGCTTTAGAGCATGAGCAAGATTATGTTTGGAATTTGCAGATGGTAAACTGTTTCTAAAGAGCTCAGAGCAAGAAACAACTTGCGACTCTGAGGTGCTGATTCTAAGTGTACCTTCTACCTCTACTGCCTACAAGCCCTAGATTGAAGACACGTTTCCTTTATAAAGTTTCCCTCGACATCCACAGTTTTGCATTGGGCACGTGCAGAAAATAGTCTAGGCCATGCTTATAACTGCATTCTTCTAAATGTTTTGGGGTTTTTTTTGTCATAGGTTTTCTGTCTATTACATCATGCTTGACACAGGCAGTAGCTCTTATCTATGAAGTGACTTCTACTTAAGAAAAAGACATTAAGGAATAGTTCAACAGGAAATAGTTAATGAAATGACATACATATAAGCAAAAATTTTACATTGCTTTAATTTACAGAATAACTGCTGAATGTTCATTTCAAAAAAAAAAAAAGCCCCAAAAAATCCACTCAAAAACCAAAACACAAGTTAAATGCCTTGAAAGAGTTTATCAGCTTTGGTATTCCCTCCACTCCAATAAAACACAACAAATGAGATGGGTGGGGAAATGATAAACAGTAATTTGTTACCGACAAGAAGAGAAAACCAAAAGTTATCATTAAGCACGTTACCATGTATGTTTTCTGGTACAATCCAGAAGCTGAGTTTACAGCTTGAAGTCTGTTATATTTAAGCTTCATTCACAACATGCTTGTGAATGACTCTTTACAATCATTGTTGCTGCACCCAAGTCCATGCTAATTTCATAAGTGAAGTGCATGGAAAGATCATGTTTGTGCTCAACTTTAAATAAAACAGAACCTCTTAAAAGACAAAACCCAGAATAACAACAACACACGAGCAAAAAACCACAGACTAGAATACACACAATCAAATACAAAACTCCAAACACCACATGTATACTTACGGTTTCATGTTGAAGATATCTTTAAAGCCAGACACGTTTGAATCTTTGTTTTTATGCTTTTCAGCTACAAACTTTTCTTTAGTCCAGGTCATCTGCACTTTTTCTGGCACAGCAGCAGCCACACTTGCTTTGACTGCTGGAGCTGAGTGAGAAGCAGTGTTTCTGTCGTGGATCAGCTGAGCCTGGCCACAAAACAAACAATCACCTGAGATTCAGCCAAAAAGAGCATTTTTAGATGACACATCATTTGAACTTTGAAAAGGAATCTCACTGCAGTGGAACAAAAGAAGTTTGAGAGAAATGCACCTTATTCTGTGAACAAAGAACAGATTGTTTTGACTTCAACATGCAATGAAATGCTTGTAAAAAAATGCTGAACCACCAGCACGACTCCCATCATCCTAGAAACACAGTGTTGGACCGGCTGAATTGAAGGCTAGCTACATCCCATTAGATTATTTATGAATGCAAGTGCAAATTACATCATAAAAGCCAATCTAACCACGAAGGGGCCTTCTCTCCCATTGTAACAGCAGAAACACAAATCACAACCTTTAAGAACACAATATTGTTGTTCCCACATGCATACACACTTCTGTGTTCTCTGTTTCCCATTCCCCTTTCTCCTCTGGAGGAAAGAAGGAAGAAATATTTCACATGTTATTTACTTACTTGCTTTCCCTCATGATACTTTGCCCATAAGTGTCTATTTCCATGAAAAGCAACACAAATACAGTACCTTAGACTCAAAATCGTAAGCAAATTGGTATGGGAGGAGGATTGGTTTTATGTTTTGGGATGTTTTGAGGTTTTCTGTTTTGGAGAATGGTTGGGGTTTCTTCTGGTGTGTGGGGGTTTTTTTGGTTTGGTTTTTTTTTTTTTTTTAAGATCTTTAGCAGTTATGAAGTCTCCTCAGAGACTGTTAAATCATGAGTTGAAGCTCCTCTTCCATTTGAGAATATAAATTATTCACGTGTTACGGATTGTTATGTCCCTCCATATATGTGATGATTCAGAAGAATCCATTTCATTCAGGTCACTATCAAAAGCATGAATTAAATCAAAGCCGATAAGAAAAATTACTTCCTACCTCTGAACAGCAGATAGTGGTTCACAAACTGTAATTGCAGCTGGTTTTACATGCCTAAGAACTACTGTATTTTTCCTAAATTATTTCCCTAGTCCCTGTCTTTGAGGATTCCCAAATCCTAGAGTTCAATTCTGAGGTTCACATAAACGTCTCTTTGTTTGATGGTCTTCATGTCTCCCCAGATGATTAAAGCATGAGTCAAGAATCTGAATCAGAAGTTCCTGTGAATACAGTTCTGTCACGAGGATGGAAAAAGCTAACAAATACATGGAGATACTATACATGCCCTACAGCAGTATCCAGTGAACTAAAACTTCAAACTAACAAGTGTAAGATGAGTCACAAGTATGCTTCAATGGAAGAATGTCTGTGTCATTTTTAGGAAGACAGTGAGGCCAAGAGAAATTCTGGACCTACAGCACGAATTTATAAAAATGCAAAGACAACAAAATTACATTTTTGTCCATGCTATTTTGATACCAAATTGATTACGTGGAACACAACACATTCTTCTCACACTTCATGAAGAAAAGGAAACAAAGATATACAGCATTTCTACAGACTAGGCTACACGTCTTTAGATATGAGCAACACTTCAAGTGCACACTAAAATCCTTGATTTCATCAGTTCATTTCTTCTCAAACTCATCATGCAGAAAGTAGTAAAGACATTTACAGGTTAATGATGGTTTGTAAATACATACAAATCTCCTTAAAAAGCCCCAGTATATCTATACAGTCTCTGAGAAGCTTCTGTACTTCAGTATAGGAACTATAAAGGAAAGCAATGCTTTGTGAAAGCACGAAATGTGCTTATTAATGAAACACCCACTGTTAAGACTTTACGAGATAGAAGGCAGAGAAATATCTTTGCTTCTAGCTCTTAAGAAAACCAGGTGCTCTCAGAAATATAAGTGTTTCTTTTATGGAAAAAAAGTGTGAGAAAAATAGGATGTAGTTCATGTCACAGAAGCATCATTTAGAGAGAAAAAAATATAGGGTACGATTAATGAACCTAGTAAAATAATAAAATTAAAGTTTATTAATAATTGTGCCACAACAATGAATGATGAAATTATTTATTTGTATCTGAGTTTGCAACAGTGGCACTTCAAGTGTTGCACTGAGAAAACATTTCTAGCCAGTACTACGTCCAACTACCTCCTCCTCTTGATAATCATTAGTCAGAAGTGCCTGTGCATCTTGGCCAATGGACTGCGGACTGGAGTAGCTTTTTCTTCTGATTGAGCCCCGAGACTCATCAGTGATGCTCTGAATCTGGGACAAAAAAAGTCACCAATGACAAAAAAAACACCCCAAAAACACCAGTCTACAGAAAAAAGCAGATGATTATATTATTCAAAATAAAAATTGTCTTAATTTAAATAGATGAGATTTGGTATCATCGCTTGTTATAAACTTGGTTTGTTTTCACAAGCACGCTATTTGTTTATATACTCATTTTGAAATGTTTAGCAGTTAGTTATGAAGTCTCTTTACAGAGATTTGTGAAAACTTGAAGTGAATTGAATCCTTTAGTCTATATGGGAACCTCAAATATTCACTTGTTTGTGAAGGTCACATTCCTTCATTTATGTATGATTCAGATTAATTGATTTTATTCAGTTACAATCAAAAGTATGAAAAAAAATTAAGTAAATGAAAAAGCTGCTTTCCCACTCTAAACACTGGTTTATTTCCCAGTGATTCACAAACTATTAGTGTGCTCCTCCCCTACATGTACTCACATTTCTGCAAATCTTACCTAGCAGCAGCAATCTGCACAACAGCACCTGTTCTGTGCAACCCAACACAAAATAGTGGTGGGATGGATGACCGCCTTGTCACAGCTCCAACAATATCACTGCCTGGCCCAACAGTCACTAGTCAAGACTAGCCAGAGAAGGAAGCCAATTGCCACCAGAAAGGGCAGCAAGGAAGTGAATGAGGCTCTACGTTTTTTCTTCATCTTTGCAGTGCTATTGTCCAAGTCAAATAAATAAATGTTTGGCAGTTGCACCCAAGTCTGCAGATCTTACACTTGGTGGGCATGTGTTATATTTACACTTGAATAGAAGCAAGTCAACCAAGTTAACCAAAAAAAGTAAACAAAAATCCGATGAGTCTCTCTCTGTGCCCCAGTTCCACCGGAAAAACCAGGGGCAAAAATCAAATAAAATTCTGTTTTAAAAGAAGTGACAGAAGATGGGAGGGTAAGGGTGATTTCTCAGGGATAAGAGCATGCTTATGAGGGAAACAGCAAAAGAATGCTGTACAAACCCAACTTCTCTGCGTAAAGGTTTGAACCTTGTTTGAGGAGGTACAAGCACAAAAGTGAGGTGAAAGTACTAATCTGTGTGGTAACGGAAAACAAAACTACAAGTGCCATTCAAAGCTGGAACATCAGGGTTTTATTCAGATGTCTGGAGACAGACAATGAAAATAAAAGCAATGGTAATTTGAACTAGTGAAACCAATGAGAGAAAGTTTTGGAGGTCGTCATAAAACTGGAGGGGATGGCTCAGCTCATTTAAGAGATGATGAGGTTCGAAAGGGCCTGGCTCACTGAGGACATACATTCAACTCACAGATCTAGAGGAAGTGAAGGCATAACTAAGCCACCTTTTTAGATGAAAATACAAAAGAACAAGGTAGATTAAGATATCCTAATCAAGAGATGGATACGGCTTTTATTCTTGGACAAAGCAGGAAATAAGTACTAGATGTTCTTGAAATTATCAAGGATTTTACTTCAGACCCTAAAATAAATTCAATGGTATTTTGAACATCTCAGATTTTGCCCTGCCTGATACAAAGGAACAAACTGAAGGTATGATGGTGATGGTTACATTCAGATAGAAGGGAGTAATAAAAAAATACATAGGGGGGAAGGGAGAAGAAAGAAATAAAAACTTCCAAGCAAACAACACTCTGAAGAAGTGCAGATTCCAACCAACTCTCAGAGCTGAGAAGAAATTCTTGTCTCCACTACAATTTACACGCTATAGACTACAGAGGCTTATGTCTTCGGGCTACTTGTAAAGCATTCATAAGGAAGTTAAATCCTTAAAAGCCTACTGTAGATTGATTAATCACTCAGACTCCACTGGAAAAATCCTAGTGTTCAATAAAGAAATTAGAAAAATTTAAAAACACTGAGTAAGGAATACAGGAGACCTTGTTTTTAGCTACTGATATATCTCAAGTTTGTAAATGTTTTGGATATATTCCACATCAATGCTCAAATATTCTGCTCTCTAAACACCTGTGCAAATAAAAAAAGGGTTTTTTTCCCCATATTATTTTAACCTTGCAAGTGAAACCTGCTGTAGACAAATTAACTTAGAAAGCTGTTATAAAAGCTTTTGACTAGTTAGAAACTGATTAGAAGCTATGGCCAAAACACACTACTTTCAGATTTTTCACAGAACATCTTGCCAAGCCAGAGTCCCTACCTCTATTTCCCTTTCGTTCTTTTTGCATCTGTTTTAGCATCTGAGATCGCTGTTCCATCATAAGTGTCTTCTCATACGTGAATGCAGAAATGTCGTTCTCAAACTGCAAGAAATGGGCAGTAGAAACATCAGAAGAAAAGTACTACTCAAAAGAACAATGTTTAGACAGTGTTCCACATTCATTCAGTCACACATTTATTTATGGCGTTAGAGTAATCCCAAGCATATAACTGACCATTGATTTCCATCTTCATTCTTAAAACTTCATCTTAAACAGCAGTCTTGTACAATGACCATCCCACTATACCCCATCAATGTGACTTTTATCTAAACTTGAGGTACTTGGGACAGACTTTCCCTCATTCTGTTATTCTGTTCCAACTAGGCTGCAGAAATGAGAAAGGGTTGAAAGTGCTTATTTAAACTGGGTCTGCACTGCTGCCTCCTGAACATGTGTGCGCACTTGGTTCCTTAAAAATAACACATTGTCTTTTCACCAGTGAGAAATGTTCACAATAGAAACATCTGAAGAAACTCTGGCATATATTCATACATCAGCTCAAAGCTAAAACATGAAATAAAAATCTATAGCAGTCATCTGTGTTGTCACTGACTCGTAATGTCTCTCTGATGTTTTGGAAGATTCTCAAGGGTTAAATATGACCCCCCAGGAGAAAATAATAAATTATGCTTTCTATACTATCTTCTGCTCAAAATCCAACCAAGGCTGAGCCTTTTTAATGGCACTTGGTCTTCTTTCACTTGCACATGCCACAGCATTTTAGTCGTTTATATTCAGTACTCAAAACAAAACTTAAATAAATATATAAATAAAAGGAATTCTTACTTCCTAGTTCAAAATACTAACCAAATTTTTCATAAAACTCATTTATTTCATAAGTAATTTAAATAATTCTTCAAATCTGCTTTATGGCTGATTATCAGAATAAATCCTTTTGATAGGTTTTTTTTTTTTTTTTTAATCCAGGAACTGCTGGTGGTAGAAGTTGTGAACCAGTCGACGTGTGATCTTCATCCCACTTCAGAATGAGTTTAAAAGGGTGGGTTTTTTTTTTTTTTTCTGTGTGTCTTACTTTGGACATTATGCTAGCCACCTTTGAGTGCTGGAAATGAAGTTTTTTCCTTAGTGGCCAAAAAAGTGGGTCTAGACGGACTACAGCTTTAGTCCTTTTTCTTTATCAGTTTACAACCAGTATTTAAAAAGGGAAAAAAGTTACAACATTAATTTTGTCACTGACTTGTGAATCTGTAGCTAGATTGTCTCGCTGTTCAGTGACAAAGAGGTTGGCAATACCAGAAACAAATGACATACTCTCATAGGGGCCCAGGGCTTCCTTATTCCAGAGAGACAGATTCATACAGCAGTTGGAGAGACAGACAACGTTCATTGTCTCCCATGCTGGATGCCATGGATTATTAGACTAAGCACATTCAGCCATCCATTTCACTGCCTGCTAAAGAGTCAAGCTTTTTCCTTCCTAAATAAGCTATCCGTATGGATTAGTCCTCACAAACAAAGGATGCATTAACATATCAAAATGGCTCAACTCTTCTTGACAAAACCATTAAACTCACTACCACATACAGTAGCATCGTGACACGGTAAGTTATGTTGCTTTAAAAAACTTCTTGCTCTTGGTGAGACTGCAATTTTCCCCTTTTTATATTTGGGCTAACATCTCCCAGTTTCAAAAATGCTAAATCTATTTTTCCAAGTTTAGTCTTCCTTGCACCTATAAAAAAAAATACGCAGTAACATACCATTTCAACAACTTCCACTTCAGCATTCAGCCTAAGATGATATAAGAACACCTGAAGATCCTTCTTCATTTGAATGCTATTATCATCCATTTGAGCGACAGTGAAGATACGCATTTTACATTTTCTCCAAACCTATTAAAAAGATACATTATAACAATTCGGAACACAGATTACTGTCGCCACGCATAACTATCAAGGTAAAAGAGTATTTCATTAGAAACCCTTAGAACTACTCATTGCTAGAAAATGAAATCCCAGTCATCTTCTGTTGTCCTTGCCTTGTGCTGTCGAAGGAGAAAAGGCAGCAACATCAGCATACCACCATCATGAACAATCCACCACACGTCTATGTTTCCTTCAGTAAAACGTTCTTGATTTGTTGGAAATAAGTCAATGTTTTTAGCCACCAACAGTGCTTGCTGAGCTGCTGTTGTTTCTCGTACAATGTCTGCAAGGGAAAACAAGACATTTGATCAAGAGCTCCTAGTTTTCATCCACAGCTTTGGTTTTTGTTTTAAATTAAAAAGCTTAAATCCTCCTAGATTCTGCTAAGTCAAGAGAGGAACATGCTGGATTTAGCGACTAGCCTGTTAGGAAAACAAGAGAAGCCATGATTGAAGAGATTGAGGGCAGAGAAAACTCACTCCACATGAAATCAGATGTGGGAAATAGTCAGTTGTCCACTGGATGTTCAGCATCACATTTCCTCCACACAGCAAATACATTAGTTACGTAGTTGTATTACAAATGCATAGGAGAAGTCAATAAACACATACCAACAAAATTTTTCCATGAGAAACGATTTTCTGTCTGCTTCCACGACTGTGGCCATGCCATCAAGACTGTATTGTGCTTCATCCCTCCTAGACCAGCTGACTGAATCAAATAGGATATTCCATCCCTGAAATTAGGAGACACCACAATCTGGCAAAATCCTTTAGTCTTTTCTACTCCCATTAAGGCCTTTACATTCTGCAAAAGGAGAATTACACATGTGGAAATACCGTCAGCAATACTGTAATAAACACTGTAAGGAGTAACAGCACTAAATAAGAGCAAAACATTAGCTACAATGTACAACCAACTTCAAAACCCCACTAATTCCAAAAGAGCGAACAGTATGTCAACTAAAGTATGTCAACTAAACCCCAAAAAATGCACCTCCCCAGGTTTTCAATTCCTTTAATTACTCAGCCTTTTATTTCCAAAGAAGAACGAACAAGATATGAGTAAAAACACATGGAGAAATATAAATAAAGTAACACTGCTTCAGGGAAAGTCCAAACAGCCAACTGACAAAGCACTGTATGTTTCAAATGCAAAGTCTTTTCCTTTGAAATGGGAAGGGTTTGGAAAAAATGTGATACCAAGCACTTTAGAACAAGAGGCTGCCAAAGCTCCTTAACCAGTTTTGACATTAAGAGGCTGATTCTTTATTGGCTCCCAACATGGAACAAATGGATGTGCAGGAGATAATTGGAGTAATTAGCTGAATAATGGCAAGAAGAACTGACTAGATTCAATCTCTGATACCCCTTTAACTTCAACATGGCTCACCTTCATTTTAACACCGACAAACATACAGACACATAACCAAGTGGGAAAAAAAAAAAAAGTAGCATTCAAAATGGTATCAAGGTTGACTAGGGAACATCAGCTTTGGCATTTACCATGTTTTGATGGCAGGACTTTAAAAATCCCATCATGATCAATGATTTATGTATGAGATCAGCATGGTTTCAGAAGGAAGAACCAGCATAGCAAAATTTAGGAATTTTGGTGCTTCCAAAAATCTATCAAGAGCCATCAGGAACAGATTTGATCATAGAACACCTGGCACTGGCTCAGAAATTCTATTTGGTAGAGAAGAAGTCTTCACAGAATTCTGTAGCAAAGCTAACAAGTCCGTCTGTGCAAACAACATCTGTAAGGGTGTATCAGTTTAAACAGAGACATTTTTCTTTTTTTAAAAGAAAGACAGGAGAAATCTTGATACAAAAATTCTAGAACCTTTTTCTAGTTGAAATTTTCCAAAACCAATGAGGCGTCCAGATGCTCCAAGCTTTTACAATTCATCCTCATTTTAAAGCAATGGTTTCCTCCATCTTAACACCAGGTCTGACTTTCTAGAGAACTCATGGATTAAGTCTCCCTTACATTCATTCCTGTTTCATTTCTCAAAAAACGTAGTTGACTTCAAGTTAAGCCAGCTATAGGTAACATTTCAAATCCTCATGGATAAACGGTTTCTGTTTAAGGGTTTTATTTGTATCATTATTTCAGAGGCCTGATTGTATTCTTGGTCTTGTTTCCTACTCACATGTAGTTGATAGTAACAGCTTAATAACAATTACTTTCTTTTCCCACCACACTTTCAATTTAATTGCTTTCCTGGAGCCTTCTCATGGGATATCAGCTAGGCCATCTGGCTTCATACTTTGTTATTTTAAAAACCACTAGGGCCAAGTCTGAATACCCAGAGGGACAAAAAAAGAAAGCTGGGAGAAAAGAGGCAGTTAGCTTTGTAGGTCCACTTCAACATCTCATATACTCATCTATTTTAAATATACCAGGTCTGAATAAATCACAGGTGTTTTTACACAGCTTTGAAGACAACTTGTATCAAAATAGTAGACATTTGAACTGATATGCTTTTCCACAACACTGAAGATATTAACCATTCTTGGAAGACACAATGGCAATGAAAGCCTACTTTTGGAGTATGCTTTATAGTAGTTTAGTAAAGGCAATACATTTCTCACTAGTATTCATTAAAATACAAGAAGTGCGTGATTTTCCAAAAAATGATTCCTCACTCTATAAAGTTAGGGGTAGGAGAGTTTTTGCAGGTGTCCTGGCTTCAGCTGGGATAGGGTTAATTTTCACGTGGCATTTTGGTGCGGTGAGGTCTTTCCCTTATGTGTTCATTCTATAACCCTATTTGTTATTATCTTCTCTTTTTCTCATGTTGTGTTATTAAAATTTGTCATTACCTCAACTCACAAGGTTCCACTTTTTTTTTTTAATCTTTCCCCCATCTTAGGAGGAAAGGCAGGGGAAGGGAGCAACTACGTGGCATGCGGTGGTGCTGCTCGGTCCTTACCCATGACAGTAAGTAAGGGGACAATTTAAAACTAAGTTCAGGTATTTTCAAGGGCTTCCCACAAAAATGTCTATATCTTTCCAATCAGGTAGCACAGTCAGTTACTGACAAGTTGTCACAAAAAAAACAACATTCTAATTAAATGAACATGTGTTTGTACGCACAGTTACATGTCATCTTAAATTACATGAAAACTTAGTATTTTTTCCTACTTCACCCTACCTTCTCTGGAGATAAGGGATAAATAGGAAAGAAAAAAAAAAAAGAGGAAGAAAGTAAAGGATCTCAAGAAGGATGCTGTTTACACTTAAGCAACAGAGTATGATTCTGGCAAAGACTGCTCCTAATCCTAGCTCCGCTATGTATTTCTAGGACAATGTAAAAAAAAGTATCATGTATACATCCAGAGGATGAAATTATGCCAAACACATCTGCACTTGTTAGATAAATGTTAAATTTTACGTTGAATAAATTTGTTTTCTTCATAAGGTAACTTGTTAAAAATCTACCACTTGACTTTTTCAAGAATGTAATATGATTGTAAGCCCAGGGTTCCCAATACTAAAGAAAATAAAAATCTAAGTAGCAGCAACATTGTCTCATCCTATTGGGAAATTTTAGATAACATTTTGCTACATCTACTAATCTATTCCTTAGATATAATAATTGGTTGTGCTAACAGCAAAACTGATGTTTCATTCGATACTTCACAACAGTCTGTCCTAATTTGACATATGAGTTATCCACATTCAACATTCAAATACTAATGGAAGTTACTAGTGTTTGTAAGCTTTTACATACCACTTCAGCTTTCTGAGTTTCTGTACATTTATCCAAGTAGATTCCCTGAAGCACAGAGCCCACAATAGTCAGTCCTTTACCAGCCTTCAACTGAGATGTGAAAGAAAGCAATCTAGGATGTTTCACCAACTGCTCACTATCCAAATTTAACAAGACCAAAAGTTGAGGTCTGAAAAAAAAAAAAAAAGTTGAAACCCCCCACACACACCCCCGCACCCACCCACCTTCCTGGAAAAGAATTAGAAAATTAAAATTAACAATTAGTAAAATGCAGATTGAAGTGCTTAATTCAATGGAAAATATTTGCCCATTAAGCAAGGAAGTTATAAATTTGCAGCAACACTTCAAGTACAGAATACCCACATGAGCCACCATATCATCATTCTGAAAAGCTACATTAAAAAAAACTATTATTGAATCAAAATTATCACCCTTCCAAGATCATCTAGTGCAACCTGCTGCTTGAACTGGTTAAGCACTGAGTGCAGACCAGATTGTTTACAGCTCCATTCAGTTGGATTTTGAAAACCTCCAGAGACAGAAATACTATCACCTCTGGGTAACCTCTTCAATGCTGAATAATCGTCATCTCAATTTATTTTTTTTCTATCCCCAGATATTGCTCCTGTACCCCAACTCTCATCTTGGTGGTCCTCTGCTGAACTCAGTCCAGCTTATTGATGCCTTTCCTATATTAGGGTGCCTAAAACTGGTTGAAATATTCTAGTTGTATCCTAATGACTGCTGAGCAAAGAGGAATATTATTTCCCAATAGATTTACTTCTCAATATGCTAGCTATGCTCCTAAATGCAGTCCACCACGTCACTGCCAAGACACCCTTCTCTCTTACTATCTACTGGGAATCATAGGTCCTTTTCACCAGAGGAGGTTCCCAGCCTCATACCGCTGCACTGGACAAGCTTGTCCCAGCTAGGGGACTTTGCACTTGTCCTTCTGGATTTTAATTGTGTTCTTGTCAACCCATTCCTCTACCTCCATAGGTTCTTCCAAAAGGACAGTCATACCCTTAATCATTCCGATAGCACCCCAAGTTCAGTTTCAACCGCATAATTGATGAGGATGCATTCTGTTTCCTTTAATCAATATCCAGCCTGCTTACTTTTCCCAAACCAAATGATTTTTCCTGTCATTACTACAAATTCAAAAGAACAACAAAGAATCACAGAATCATTAAGGTTGGAA